ATCCGTGCAGAACCGCCAGGTTCCGTCCTTTTTCTTAACCACGAGCACTGGCGAGGAAAAAGGACTAGAGCTTGGTTTGATCAATCCTGCCTCCAACATCGCCTCCACCTGGCGCTCGATCTCCGACTTATGGTAGTGTGCATAACGGTACGGTCGCACGTTAACCGCATTTGTTCCCTCCTTCAGCTTAATGCGGTGATCTACTGATCGAGTTGGTGGCAGTCTTCCCGGGTTTTCGAATATGTATACGAATATATCAGACAAATTCTGCAAATCTGGCCTTGTCTCCTGTGCCTGTTCGGCTCTGACCGTCCAGCATAGGACTGCCAGCTCGGCGTCATCTAGCATTTGCAGTTCCGCCCAGCTCACGAGCCCCGCGGCCGCGGACATTCCCTGCAGTTTGTAGTCCTTGTCCCTCCATTTGAAGTGCATGGTCATCCTTTCCCAGTCACTAATCACCGGTCCCAAGCTCTTCATCCATGGAATTCTCAAAATCACCTCAAAACCTTTATCGACAGGACATGCAGATCCGCCCTGCTCTCCACGTCCTGAATCCTAAGAACCACGCCTAGGTGTTGTCGATTACAGTGTAGCGCCTCACAGTGATGGGCATCACCTTCTTCAGCTCCTCATGTAGTGCGGCCTCGAATCCCTCCCCGATGAAGTTCAACAAGGCTCCGCTGTCTACCAGGGCGATCGCTGGTTTCCCGTTGACCGTCACTCGGTAACGCATGGTGCTGGTTGAGGTGATTCCCGCCATAGCCTCCGCCGACACCACCGCCGCCTCCTCGTCGCCGTCCTCCTCGATCGGCTGCTCCTCCCGCTCGCCCCCGTCGATCGCCGCCTCGGCCGCCTCGTTCACAGGCGGTTTGCCCCCGCCGATCGCCGCCTCGATCTCAGGTGGGTCTTCTCGCCCCCCACGCTGCTCCAGCTCGTCGAGGGCACGGACAAAGTCCCTCTGTAGCTGGCGTGCAAAGTCCCCGATTGAGAGTTTGGTGGAACTCATATCGTGACCTGTGCTCTGATACCACTGTAAGAAACCCGCTTGATTGGGGTTAGATGAGGAAGAATTGAGAACATAAATTAGGGTTAGGGATTCAGAATTTGAGAGGGATTGGGGAAGAACTAGAGAGAGATAGAGATTTAGGGTTTTAATATTCTTCTTTCATAATATGAAAAATAACTAGTCCAAGGTTTATATAGTGCCTCCCAAAGCTAATGAATCGAAAATACAAGGAAGGGGCCGAGCCCTGTCTAACCCGACCCAGGCCCAAGCGGGTTTCTAACAGATCCCATACAAGGTTTGTGTTTTCATGTGTATTGCCTTCCATAAGAAGATCCTTACTCATGATGCCTTAAAATGGAGGGGATGGACTATTCCCAGTCAGTGCGTGCTCTGTGGTGCCAAAGAAGAATCACTCGATCACATAATCCTCTCCTGCAGCTTTTCGAGCGAGGTGTGGAGGATTATGGCTACTTTTGTGGAGTTAACCGAGAAAGCGATAGACATATCATCTAGACAGCTGATGAATCCCTGGAATTGGTGCACCAAAGTCTTCCTTCATGCTTTTTGTTGGCGAAGTTGGCTGGAGAGAAATTCAAGGACGTTCAAGGATAAGAGCGCTTCCACCCGGATTGTATGTCGTAAAATTGGCAGGGACATCTTCGAATGGTTGACTGCCGCTAACAAAGCCAACAAGAACATTGCAGATCATTGGTTTTTCATACTGAAGGCTCGCTTCTTCCCTGTGCAGCAACTGCCGTTACAAAAATTGTAGAGGCCTAATTCTGGATTGTGTTGTTTCCAGGAATGTTTTTCTATTCCCTTTCCCGGCGGAGGGCTACTGCTTTGCTTTCATTTAGCTTCCATTGCCATCTGCAGCTTGCACGATCCCTTTTCATTCTTGGAGGGTTCCTTTTTATCGCTCTCCTCCTTTTTTTGCAATCTGGCCATTTTTTGGAGACTGTTATTAGTCTTCCACTCTGTGTTCTTGTTGTTCTTATACTCTTGATCTTTTTAATAAATTATTTCAACATTATAAAAAAAGGATATACCAGCGGAAGAAGGTGGGTTACGGACACAAAGTTGTGCATTGACGCCAAATAATATACCAATAAGAGTAATTTAATTAATAATTAGTAATAATTATAACATTTTATCATAATTAGTAAAATACTTGTGGATTCATTTGGAAATTCCATCTCAAATCCTCAAAATTGCTATAACTAGCTCCAATTTCGTAGTTTTGAAAATTTTGAATGGAAAATGAATCTTTTATATGAGATCTCCTACAGTAACTTAGGTATATTTTCAAGTTAGTTAACTTGTATAGATCTAAACCGTTAAAATTGATCAAACTTGTTTTAAACCATTGATTTAAGAAATAATAGTTAAAAGAATTAATGAGAACAAGGGTTGCCGGTCACCTTTCTTGTTTTTTTCTTTCCTTTTTCAAATTTAGCTGTTTTCCTTATTTTAATCTTTCCTTTTTTTAATTCGTATTGAATTAGAAGCGTTGCGTAAGGCTTTCGTATGGACTTAGCACTTTACGTAACGCAAGTATATTACTCATTACGTAAAATGACCTTCTATTATGTAAGGCTTCCGTCATGACCTTTTACAACTATTACGTAAAAAAGACATTCATTATGTAAAGGTTACGAAACACAACTGTTACGTAAAAAACACATTCGTTACGTAAAGGTTACGAAACAATAGTTATTTCTTATGTAACAGTAACATTGGAAGCGTTACGTAAGACTTTAGTAATGATTTAGCACTTTACGTAACGCGAGGTTAATACTCATTACGTAAAGGGACCTTCCATTACGTAAGGCATGCGTAATGACATTTTACAACTATTACGTAAAATACACATCCATTATGTAACGGTTATGGAATGACAGTTATTTCTTACGTTACATTTAAATCGGAAGCGTTACGTAAGACTTCCATAATGACTTAGCACTTTATGTACCACGAGGTTAATACCCATTACGTAAAAGGACCTTCCATTACGCAAAGGTTACGAATGACAACTATTCTTACGTAACAGTTAAATCAACAACATTACGTGAGGCTTTCGTAATGACTTTATATTTATGTAATGCAATATTAGTATTCATTAGGTAAATTAACCTTCCATTACGTTAATAACCTTTTACAACTGTTACGTAAGATTACCATACGTTACGTAACCATTATGTAATGTCAATTGTATTTTATGCAATGTGAACTGTTAAACCTGCTATAGCAGGTTAAAAAATTCAAGCTACCTTATTTCAAATTACCTTAGAAAATCCCTATATACCAATCAAACACAAAAACATTTCATTTCAAAATGAATTTCTCAAAATTTATTAAAATGAATTTATATGAAACAAAGTAAGAGCACTTCTACTATGCTATATAACATTGGTGCTTTAATGTACAACTCAAAGTTGTACCATAACATTAAATATATAAGTTTAGGTTGTACCATAAAGCAATTTGTATCATTATGTTATGGTACAACTTTACAACTAGAAGTTATACCATCACATAAATGTACAAGTTCAAGTTGTACCATAAAAAAATTTGTACAAAAAGTATAGGTACAATCTAAAATTGTACCATAACGTAAATGTACAATTTTAAATTGTACCATAAAAACAAAAATCTATAACACCAATACTATATAGTATTGTAAAATTTCTCAACAAATAAATCCATCATGAATTGCCACAGTACAGTTTCTACATGCATGGAACCTTTCTTACTGAGGTGGCACAAAGTTTTCTTGGCAGGTTGAAATTGACATTATAATCGACGGGACCATTTTGTTTATAAAAATGAAATTTGATGACTAATTCGATAGATTTTGAAGTTTAATGGTCACTTTGTCATTTACGCCAAATTTTGTTAACGCTTTGTTTGGCAATAGGGGTGCAATTTCGAAGGGGTGCAAAATTAAGGGTTAATTGAGGGGGGGCCAAATTTAAAGTGGGTGCAAATTGAGGTACAAATTGTTGTTTGGGAGAAAAAGTAGAAGGGTGCAAAAGAGATATAATATATTGATTTTAATGTAAAAAAATGTAAAATAAATCAAATCCCACCCCATGTCGCCACCCGATTACCATTTTTCGTTACCTTCTCACTTTCTTTAGCCCACCAACACTTTTCTTCCCCTGCCAGTCACACACTCCCCACGTGGCCCCATCCCTTCCCCTCTTCCCCTTCTTCCTTACTCCTCAAAGTGGGGTGCAACCCCAAACAGTTAATTTGCCCCCATGATGTACCCCTTGTTCCTGTTCCAAATTATCCAAACAGAGGTAAATACCTCGGTTTCTACACTTGCGCCCAAAAAATGCTTCCCAGCCCTCCCAAACATAGGGGTCGTTTGGAAATTGAGATTCTTCAAATATGTGTATTTGATGAATACATCTATTGTCAATACAAAGATTGTTAGAATTAGATGATTGGAAGAATGTCTTGTTTGGTTGTAGCCATTCAAAAATTTTAAAGAAAAGAAAAAATCACTATATGAGCTAAAAGTTAAACAAATTAAAGCCAACAATCTCAAAGTAAGAATCTCACCATTTTGTTGAGATTTAAAATGAGTGACTGTGGGTGATATGAGATTTGAGGGCCCACCTCAAATGCATGTATTGAATAAAGTTTTGGAACAAAAAAACGATGAATTCTCCAGAATACATGAATTCAAAAAATCATTCATTTATAATCATAACTTCCAAACCACTCATAATGTAACCATAAAAAGAATTCGTTGACCCTTTTAGACTTTTAATCCTAGGTTTCCAGCGCAGTTTTTTGGGGACAACAGTCCGATTAGACCAGAGTCCAGAAGTCTGCCTTGAAATGGGAAAGGAGTTTATTTGCAGGATAGTGAAAAGTGGAACGGTGGCTTACTTGCAGAATAATAAAATTAGAAATATGGGTAAGAAAAGTCATTAGTACAAACCTCGTGCGCACTATATAATGCTACTGAGAAAAGGTCAAGGCCAATATATAAGTATTGTCTCATTCCTTTTTATTTTTGTGGCTAAAAGACGTATTCTAGATAGGCTTAAAGTTAGGATCTTTGGTATTAGGAATTGGTCGCTTGGGTGGGATTTTTCTAAATTCACACTTAACCTATTAAGTTTAGCGATGGAAAAGCTTTGGTGAAAATTGAAATAGTTATCAAGTGCTAGAGCCTAGAAGGGTGTACCATATTGTATCCATAGGGTACACCGTACACATAGGTTATAGGTACGCATATGTGTACGGCATGGGTGGAAACATGTAAAAGGTGGGTCTCAAGATCCATTCTGTCTCAAGAGAAAGAAAAAATATATATTAAAGAGTTGTTTAGTTTTGGTGATAGTTAAATTGATGTATTGTTATTTATGTATTATATATATGTATTATGCATTTTCGATGGAACATTTGTTGGTGCATTTAATGATAATGTTCATTTACTTAAAAAAATATTGTTTAATTTAAGTGATAGTTATTTTAGTATTTAAAGAATTTATATAATTTTTGAATGAAATGTCACTTTTATCATTTTTAATATAAAAGAGCAACACATATAAAATGTTAGGACTTAGGATATAGTTGGAAAAAAAACAAAAATAACAGTCTCAACAATCTCCCTAAAACTTAAGATTTAATTATCACTCATTTTGAGTGATAATTTCTGTCACATCAAGCATGCAATTCTTTTATTGTTTGTGCATAAAATTTTTAAATAAATGCACTAAGAACAATACAAACATTGTAACAATCTCAACCAAATTATCATCAAAATCAAACGACCACTAAATGATTGTTTGGTTTATGTGTGTGTTAAATTTATGTATTCTAATGAATACAAATTTATTAGCTTTATCAATAAAATATGTATAATATTCGATACAATGTAATATATAATACCTCTAAATGATTGCGTCGGAGCTGTTGCATCTTCGTGAAATATCTGTTGAGATGATCATCTAGGTCAGCCGTCCCATCACATGTCGGCAGAAGAGGTATATTGGTCCCCATCGACTCAATCAATACGTTCCTCGCCAGAGGTTGCTTCACAGTGAAGTGTCAGGCTAGACTCCAACAATAATGTATTCGAAATTTTTAACTTTGACTTTATGATAATACACATCCATTTTTTAATTATGAAACTCTAACTAAATATTTGGAATAACTTTAACATCAATAATATATTCAGGAAACAATCTATTGTCCGCAATGCTTTGTGTGAAATTTTGAGCCATCCTCGTAATGAGATTGCCGAGTTATTAAGAAAAAATGAATGCATTTGTACGTGAAATCAGGACCATTACTTAGCTGTTGCATCGTGTTGAATGGATTACTAGAAAACTATATTACGGAGTCCATGGCATGACATGTTTGAAAATTAATCAATTTGGCATGAGATTTTTGGAGTTGTGATTTCAAATGATGTATTGAGAGAGTTCTGGAGCAGGAAGAGATCCTCTAGTTTCAGCGAGCTAGAGAGCAATGGGTGAAGTTTGGAGAGCGCAATACGGTTTACTTGCACTAGCAAGCTAATATGTGCAGAAGGAGGAACAGGATTGAAAGCCTGAAGGATAGAAACGGAGAGTGGATCTCTGACCCACGAGAGCTGGCGGCCTTGGTTTTTGATTTTTTTCTTCTCTTATGTATTTGCAGGACTGTCAGGATTATGTTGATGATATGCCTACACAGGCTTTCCCGAGACTTGAGCATGAGGATCTCCTTCTCCTCCTCCGCCCCTTCACGGGAGAAGATATTCATAGAGTTGTGCATGACATGAAGCCTTTCCAAGCTCCCGGACCTGATGGATTCCAAATTATTTTCTATCAAAGAGCTTGGCAAGTCGTGGGAAAAGCCTTTATTGACATGGCTATCAATTTTTTCTCTACAGGGATGCTGCTAGATAAAGTGGTGGAGTCGACAGTGGTCCTAATCCCTAAAGTGGAGCACCTTGAGATGGTCACTCATCTGCGACCAATCTCACTCAACAATGTGTGCCTCAAACCTATTACGAAAGCCATCACCAACTGCTTAAAGCCCATCATGCGGAAGCTTGTGTCCCCTCGGCAAAGCAGCTTCATACCACAAGGCAAACTACTGACAACAACATTGTTTTGCAGGAAGTTCTGCACTCTCTTAGAAAGAAAAAGGCAAAAAAGGGGGTGTATGGATCAACTGCATCATGTTCTGCGTGGAGAGCAACAGGATGCGACTTCTGTGGAATGGAAAGCTCTCAGCCCCGATAACTCCTACCAGAGGAGGCCGCCAGGGAGACCCCCTTTCACCCTATCTTTTTGTGTTGTGCATTGAAATGCTCTCTCATAGGATTGATCAGGCTATTCACAATAAAATGTGGAAAACCCTGCGACTGTCTAAAGAGGTGCCTAAGCTATCTCACCTATTTTTTTTGCATATGACATATACTGTTTGCAAAAGCTGACGGTGCACAGGTTCGAATCATTAAGCAATGTTTGGACGAGTTCTGTGGTAGTCTGGCCAAAGAGTTAACTACAACAAGTCAGATATCTTTGTCTCGGCCAACATTGACAGACTGGCAGCGAGAAGATTGACACACCGGGCTGAAATTCCACTCACAGTTGATATAAGGCGTTACTTGGAGTGATGGCAATTCATGGACGAGTAACCAAGACCAGATATCAAGACCTCATGCTCCGGATCAAGAGGAAGCTCGCCCCTTGGAAGACGAAGCACCTCTCACTAGCAACGAGGATCACGGTGGTTAAGTCCATTTCGGCTTCTATTGAAATTTATCCTATGTATACAGAACTTCTCCCTATGAATGTTTGCAGGTCTCTTGATTGGATGAACAGAAGCTTTATTAGGGAGATACAGATGATAAAAAGAAACTCCACCTGGTTGCTTGGCCGCAGGTGCTTCAACCCAAGAGTAGTGGCGACTTGGGCATCAGATCAACAAGACAAGTTAATCTAGAGATGTTGGTGAAGGCTGGCTGGCGCATCATTAAGGATAAGGAGGCGATGTGGGTTCAGTTTGGTGGAAGCTAAGTACGGGAGGGGCCAAAATCACGTGGAGCCTCTGAAACCTGTTTAGAGAAGTTCCTTGACCTAGTCGAGTTTCATAAAGGCGGCAGACCAGATAAAAAAGGGATGCGCCTGGAATATTCACAAAGGTCAGACTAAGTTTTAGTTGGATGTGTGGCCTGCGCAGGTACCACTACAGGAGCTGGCAATGGGCGATATTCCGGATGAGGATCGACACGCAGTGGTAGCAGATTTTGTTGATGAAGATGGGAACTGGAATACTAAGAAGTTCCACCACATACTTCCCCTAGAGATTCAACATCAAATTACATTGGACGCAGTAGATCCTTTGGCGTCGGAAGATGATACACTGTTCTGGAAGCTAAGTTAGGATGGAAGTTTTTCAACGAAGAGTGCTTACCAGATGCAGCAATCGGCAGCCACCAGCAGAGACCACCAACTTTGGAAGAGGATTTGGCGCCTCCCGATACCGGAATGTGTGAGAGTCTTCATTTGGCTGCTTGCACAGGGTACGATCAGCTCAAATAAACAAAGGGAGAAATGACATTTTACGGTGGATGCGTCCTGTTACAGGTGTCCTACCCAAACGGAAAGTCTAAGCCATATTTTTTAGAGTTCCCACCTGCTGCATACTTCTGGAGCCGCTCAATTCCTGGAGATTCTCAAGCTGAGTTCTTTGGCGACATTTGGGATGTCTGCTTTAAAAAGAATGTAACTCGGGAGGAGCTGTCAACCGATGAATGCCATGGAACGCTTTCTTTTGTATCTCTTTGTGGTGCATTTGGAAGAATCGAAATGAGGGAGTCTTCCATGGGGTAAATAAGACAATGTCGGCGCCTTCCCTCAACCAAGCAATTAAGATCAAGGCTGACATGTGTTTTCGCGCGTGGAGCACACCGAGCCTTGTTTTGGGTAAGTCCAAGCTTCCTCCTAGCCGCATGGAGCTTTAGATCGGGTGGAAAGCACCCCCTGAGGGGTGGCAGAAGATAAATGTAGATGGGGCTGCTGACCAAAACCATGTTTTGGCCGGCGCGGGGCGAGTTCTTAGAGATAGGAGGAGCAAGTGGCTAGGCGGTTTCGCCTCAGGCCTGGGAGCGTGTTCAGCTACCATGGCTGAACTCTGGGTTATTTACCATGAACTCAGATTGGCGTGGAACACTGGATGTAGGGCACTTCTTTTGGAAACATACTCTCAGTTGGCTATTCAGTTGGTGAACAACAGGACCGATCCCCTTCATCCCTATGCGACTCTCTTAACGGTTATTAGGCGCAAGATTGCACAGGACTGGGTGGAGAGTCTAATTCATACTTACCGGGAAGGGAATAGAGTTGCGGACCGGCTCTCGAAGCACACTCTCGTCTATCCATACGATATGCATGAATTGGACACACCGCCAAGTGAGCTCCGCATCCTTCTATAGGAAGATCAGAGAGGTGTCACCTTCCCTAGAAGAGTGGTTACCTCGTCCCTTTCCTCTGCTACTCAACCTCTGTAACCCCTCTTTCTTTTCTTTGGCCTCGTGCCTCCAACAATGCAAAAAAAATGTTGTATTGAGCTAATTCATTTATTTGTGAGATTTAGTAATTTTGTGGCTTATATTGAACTGGAATACATGCATTAATTTTTTAGGGGTCCAACCACGATCACTCAAAATTGAGGTATTATCAATCTCAACAAAAAGTATAGATGCTTTACAATTAGTCAAAATTAACTTATGTGACTTTACAACAAAAACTCAATCTAAACCTCCAAATAAGGTATTTGCCTAATACATTAATTGATTCAATACATCAACTTGAAGAATCACAACTTATAAACGATCCCTGGTGAATCTGGCCAGCCTATAAGAAAGGGAAGAAAGAAAGATAGTCAAGTAAATTTTTATATATTTTTTTTGGCTTAAAATGTCAAAAGGAGCTCGGTTTCATAAGGGGTTTGCTAATTAAACGGACTGCCATTTTCTTTTCTCGACCACTGGAAGTTTGCATCAATTAATGGGAAAAGCATTCCCTTGATATGACATGTATCGCATGTAGCTTGTGGCATTTTTCTCTGTTTTGTGATTTGTGTGGGATTAATTTCCTCCCACGTGTTACCAATTTCCAATGGAAAGATCACTCTAGCCAGTAGCCCCAAACCTCATTCATATCCTTTGCGAAGGAGGAGACAAGGAAAATATAAGGGTCAAATCAATTAGGGATGACAATGGCAGGCTAGGGTCTGTTTACTTTCATTTCTGTTTCTTGTTTTCGAGAAAACAGATGTTGAAAATAGGTGAAAACAACATTTTGTCGTTTCCGAAAACAGCAGGAAGTTGCCACTTTCTGTTTTCATAGTTGGAAACGAATAGAAAATAGAATGAAAAGTAAACAAGTTTTCTTGTTTCGGTTGCAAAATTTATGGCATAAAAACAGAAAACAGAAAACAGGAAAAGAAAATGGAAGTGAACAAGGATTAGGGTAGCTATATGACTCGGGTCCAATTGTACACATTTTACCCCTCATTGCTTGATAGTTTGACTTTGCATTTCATTGTCTCTTGACCTATTTTACGCTAGGTTGCTCTATTGTTGATACATTTCAGGTCCTAGCACGTGTAGGAAGGTCGAGGACAAGTTTCGGGACGAAAGGAGGCAAGAATGGCAAAAAAAAAAATGAAGAAAACAGAGAGAACGCGGCAAGGCGGCCGTGTTCCAAGACCATGTTCAGCACCTTCAGCCTAGACACGACAGCATTTCAGGGGCCAAAAGATTCTTCCCATTCCACGAACACGCCCACAACACGCCCCGTGTTTATAGGCCGTGTCCGCAGCTAAGTCTAGAGGCTTTTGCCATCTCACTGGAATTGAAGATTATCACAGTCACTCAGACCGTGATAGTCAATGAAGAGGCCGTGAAGTCGGGCAAAAACGAAATTTTTCGTCGAGTTTTGAAGAACACGGCCTGAACACGCCCGTGCTCACTGGTCGTGTTATGTTTTTTCTTGCAGACGACAAAATGCAGCGCACTTGGGATAGAACACGACCAGAGGACACGACCATGTTCGAGCTAATTTCTGCAGACTATTAAGTCTGCAGTAGAAGGAAGAAGAGGAAGAGCTTTTGGTAGGGTTTTAGGTTTTAGAATAAAGGAGGATTTCTAGTGAGAGATTAGGGTTTCATCTTCCTATTCTAGAGAGAGAAAGTGTCATTCAAAGGAGGAAGAAAGAGAATGGGCTTGCCCTAAGCTAGAGGAGTGAAGATTCTTACCTCTCAATGGAGATTCAAGCAAGGAGGAAGGAAGATTGTCATCTTCATGGTTCTTTCTCTCCTTTTTCTTATTTTCCTTTGCCTAGCTATGGAATAGCCTACCTATTCACTTGGGTGTTGTGAACCCTAGCTTGAAATATGTGATAGATTGTATAATTGAATGCTTTGCATGTGGGTTTATGTTTAAAGCAGAGTTTGATGTATTTTCATGATTGTTGGGTTGTGTTCTTCATTTCTCATTACTATGCCAATTTGACCTAGGTAGAGGGAATTCCCCTTTTTGTTAGGAGGCTTTGATAAGCTGGATTCTTGGCCAATTGAGTCACCTACCTAGGGAAAATTAGGGCAAACCTCAAACTTTGATTTAGCACTTTAACTTGGGTGTTACTTTGACGTCCGTATTAAGTTCTGAGGGATTGATTCTTGCAGCCCTTAGTTTTATCGGTTAAGAGAGCTAGGAATCCTAGCTTATTATTGCAATCCTTAGCTGAAAGGTTAAGAGAGCTAGACTCCCTAGTTTATTGTAGCAATCATTAATCCGTTGATTGAGAGAGCTAAGGTCACTAACTTAATCGTTTTCCTTAACCGATTGATTAAGAGAGTGAGATTTCATTCACTTGTTGCGCCCTCCTACGGTGTATTAACACACCTCCACATATTTGCATTCGATTTGGGCGATCTTGATATGTAGGTAGGGGGAGCAATACCCGGGTGGACTCTTCTCTCATTGGGAAAACCTCAATTTACTTTACTTGCTTGTTTTCATTTGTAGTTTTCTTAGTTTTAAATGTAAAAACACTTGCTAGATAACAAACTGAGCGATTGAAGTAGGGGTACATGGGTCGGCCCGGGTTTGACAATTAAAACATACTTGCCCTATACTGCACCCGGCTAGAATTTATGCTTGAGCTCTAGTCGGGATTTAAAATGTGGTGTTTCTGTGGAGAGACACTATTATGATACCCATACTTGTCTTATGGTATGTTGAGACCACATCAGGTAATTTATCATGAGGTGCGGGTCGGGAGGTCAATTCATATGTATACGTAATTTAACAGGGAAAACATTAGAAATATTTATTTTTTCATTAAAAAACCAAGTAAAATTCTTAGTAATTTTAATTAAATTACATATAATTTAGAAAAAGGATCGATAATAAGGCGGGTTAGGGAATGTTGAGTCGAGGGGAGTACCCATGCTTATCCCGCTCTGTCTATCCGCCCCAAAACATACTAAACAAGTAGGATAAAACTGGTCAAATCGAAATTTTTATCTCTAAGTTCAATGCTTACTGCAAGACAGCTTATTGTGTGGTTCATGCTGGGGCAAAGAAAGTTCAATATTGACATTATGGACGATTATGTTGATATTTCAGTGGCTTATGGGTATGGTTCATCTTTATTAAATCATTTCATTGTATTGCATGTTTGGTGTTTCAATGGGCTAGGAACTTCTCTGTAGAGTCTTAGATTTTAAATATAGAAGAAGCACAGTTATAAAAAAAAAGGTGTTAAAGCACTTATCATCCCTTCATAATCGAGTTTCTTGCCGCTATTAGATTTGGACGAGTACACAAAGATAACTTTGTTGGGTATGTCAAGGGTGTGTGATTGTGGAGAACCATATTCATATACCAATCGTGTAACATAAAAGAAAAAAATGGAAGACTTAAAATTGAGAAATTAGAGATTTGTAGCATGGATTGTTGGTTAATGGAGACTTAAATTTTCCTCAAAATCATTACCCTCCTCTTAAATTATTCATGGAAATAAGCTAACTTCTTAGCAGGTTTAATACACTAATACTGAAAATCATATCAAATTTTGCAGGTTTGACTCAAAATTACGAGCCCCAAAAATCAACGGGAAATTGCTCCCTAAGCCGATGGAGAGCGAGGTCAAATATCCTCTAGCTGAGAAAATTGAAAACTTGTACATATTTGGAAGGTTTGCCACTGATTCATAAATTCTGTGAGCAAAATCGCATCATTTTCCCCGAATTAAATTGGCGTTAGGAGTGAGCTATGTTGTATTGGACTCTTCTCTTCCTAATCCTAGCTAGCTTTTGTGGACCGACTATGGACCAGAAATTTGGTTGAGACTTGAGGGTCTCTCTCTAGCATTCATTCTTCTCTTGCTTTGATTTGCTTTGAGAGAATTATTCATTACAATTCCAAGGTGGAATATGGGAGGGATCTGCTCTACTGCTCTAGTCGTCCAACGCTCTTGATTGGAAACTACAAGGTGATTTGGTTTTGGTGATTGTTTGGTTGGGATAGTTATAATTCATGCATTGTCTACTAAATATTGTTTTTTTTGAATTTTCTGCACTAATAATACATGAATTGACACAAACTATCACTCAAAATGAGTGATAGTTAAATATCAAATTTTGGGTGAGATTGTTAGATTGATATTGTTGGATTTTTTTTCTTTCAACTATGTCTCTACCTTTTTATGTGTGTTTTTTTATACAAAAAATAAAAATTAAAAATTACATTTCACTCAAAAATTAATATAAATTATTTAATTACTATAATAACTATCATACAGACAAAACGATATAATCTACAATACACAAATTTTCTTATATGCATGTACATTATTATACATTACTACCCAATTTAACTATCAGTCAATCACCCAACCCAAACCACCCATTACACTGACCGATGCCGCTATCTACCATTTTCCTACGCATTTATGGTTAATAAATGGTGGTGCCTGAAATCCTCTCAGAGTCTCAGAGTCTCAGTAACTTGTTGCTGCCATTTTCAATATCGTTGTTCGTAAAATGGCATTGTACTGGAAAACAAACTATCATTCAATCATTTACCCCAAAAAAAAAAAAAAAGCTATCATTCAATCATAATTGAATCTATTTAGTAGGAGCAAATTCAATCGAAATGACTTTTTGATGGATTTTTCTTAAATCTCATAAAGAGAGTAATGGATATGGTGTGAGTTTGGTATCTTAAGCATAAATATGTGCTACAACTATAGTTTAGACTCACTAATTTCAATGAATCAAGCATTCATATTGCTCAAGCATTATAATTATCTCTTAGACAAAATTCTCTCATTTTCCCTTATTCTTATAATCTATATCTTAGTAACATCGACATTCTAAGAAAATTTTCATTTTACATCAATAACTTTAAATATGATTATCTGTGGATGCTGTGCATGAGTTTTTCCTAAACCAGACACAAGTAGATTTTTTGGTATGCCGTCTTACATCTTCGCATAAGTTTCATTTCAGAGATGGTTATTATTTTAAAATTGTAATTCAAAAATAATATTTAGAAAAATTAATTTCACCCACATTCCTTGTCATCCCTAGTTTTACCCAAATAGATATATTGCAAGACAACTTGAAATGGGAATTCAAAGCAAAAGAAAAATGATGGTCCTGAAAAGACTCAAAGGAATGAAATTGAATGAACGAATAACTTCCATAATTTATAAGTGCATGCTATCTTTCTGTCTTTGACTTGATCAAAATCCCATTTCCTCGTATGGTAGCAGACCTAGCAGCGCAGAAACTGTGATAAAAGGATGTTTCCCCTATCGATCTGACTAATCTATCTATCTAGATTGCTCCAATTGCTTCCAACGGAAATCCACCTCTTTTGTTTAATTCAATTTTTTTTTAAGAATAATTAGTATTTATGCGGAAAATTATTAATCGTCATCTTAAAATATTAAGTTACACTTTCAATTCATTCAATTGGGCATATCTAAAAAACTTTCATCAGTAAAATCTCCTGATTATTATGCTCATAAAACTTTTTTGTTTATAAAAGTGACATAAATTAATTTTTAATTTTAGGTGTTACTTAATGAATTTGAACATGCAACCTCCAAATAAACACAACAAACAACTTTCAATTCATTGAATCCATGTAAATGTCATTGATTTACAAAATTTTCATCAAGAAGATGCCAATCATGGTTAGTGGACATTTTCAGCATGGTGGTAACAAATTTCCGAAACCACAATTTCTCTCACTTTTTTTTTTTTTTTGGTTTGGTTTGGGTACATGACCGCAATGCAATTATTTTGTTTCCCCTTAAAAAGCTTCTACTTGTCCTTTCCCTTTTGTCCAACTTGAGCCTTCAATTCCCTCGTCCATCATTCAGGAGACATGGCCCTCCTCCCGCGTCACTGCCAGTCCAATTGCACGTCACTTGAGTTGACGCTAACAGCAGCAAGAAAGCAATTAGGACAAATTTGAAGGAGCAAAGAATGCGACGCCTCTAGTTGTTACCATCGACTTTTCTTTCCCTAGGAAATCAGATATGCCACTAAAAAGAAAGTTGAATACAAATCATATCTTCCCAAATCAAATAATCACCCCCTGCCCTACCGCATCAAATACTAAACCATTAGCACAACCAATTAACCCTTTCAAAATCATAGTTAGCCAAATGAGACCAATTATATGGAAGCAATTATGACGTGCCTATGCTCTCTTCTCTACACTATCTTCCATTCCAAGTAGTTTTCTACGACCTCTCATACAAACAGGTCGATCAAATCAATCAAGCCAAGTAAGAAACAGAAAAGGGATGTTCAATCTTACTTCTCTTGGCACAAGTCGTCAGTCCGTAAATATTTCCAGCCAAACGTAGTAAACCCGCTATCACGATTCATACGAATTTCATTCACTGTGACCAGTTCTCAGTCAGCAGAGTCATTGTCCATGATTTTGGCACCCCGGCTTAGCCGTCTCAGCACACTGGTCCTGCTCACCTTAACTCCTCCTGCTGCATAATATGCCCTTGACCTCATTTTCTTCCTTACTGCTTCCACCCCACTTTCCGCCGCAGATTTATTAATTTCCACATCAGCTGCCCGTTCACTTCTTCTCTTCGTTTGGACATGGCTATCCACAGAAAACACTCCACAGAGACGCCCGAAGAAGTAGAGTGGCTCCACGTAACAAGCCGACGAACACACAATCCCTTTCACAATAGTCGGCTGGACTAGCTCCATGAACTCCTGTATCTCACTAAAGCACGAGTGATCAGAATACAGAACTGAATACATGTACTGATGGAGTTTTTCCACACCAGTGGAACTCCCACTAAGCTGCCTTTTCTTGTAACGAGCGGTCAAGTGAGAACCGGAGAGATTGGCATCTCCTTTGACAGGCCTAACCACCCATGGGAGACCGGATGGCATGATCCCTATGGTTGGCCGCGTTGCATTGAGGGCTTCTAATGTCTCGATGCTGAAACTGTAACGAGGGACAGCTCGAACCCTTGTTAGCGATGTCTTGGTTGTGAAGGTGTCGTGAAACCCTAGGATATGCATGGTCTGCAGACGCTCTGGCCATACCCAAATCTTGCAGCAACAGGGAAACACAAGCAGTTCAGAGTTAGGCTGAATCCAATCCAATCCAATTTCAAAGCTGAACTAAACAAGCCATCGTGGAATATTTCAGATACCTTGATGCCGAGAGAAAGTGCAATATGGAGCAAGAGATCTTCTTTCCCCAAGGAGTCTATCCCAATGACAACATCATGTTTAGGATGGGAGGCAATGAGATTGACAATCTCCTGAGCAGCAACTTCACGGGGCGGGAAGTCGTAAGACGGGTTGCAGTATGTGTTATCCAAGTGAAGGTTGTCGACTGTTCTGCCATTGAGAGCATTGACAAGCATGGCTCTCGCCATCTTTGCCCTCTCCCCGGTTGTCTCCCAGCGGAAATCGCCAGTGTAAAGCAGGCAGCCGAAATCGCCACGAAATAAGAACATAACAGCTCCTGCTAACCAGTTCCTTCATCCTATTAGCCTATCACAAGTTCCAAGAGTTTGAACAATCTACGGATGTAAGGGAAAATTACTGCCCTAATAGCTCTCAAATCGTTCGAATCGAAATATTTCAGGTTCAAAATGTCCCAATGTTCCCCCAATTCTCAAAGGACAAAAAACAAACACCTGGTGTACTACAAGTAATAACCTAAAAATACGAAACTCCAATTACGAAGAACAGAGGGCGTACCTGGACAATGGTGAGCATCGATTGCCATTACTCGAGCAACTGTCCGAGATCCAGATGAAGGGGAGACGAGAGGAACTGAATTCCATACGCCAATATCAAGGACGCGAAGCAGAGTGAGGTCGAAGTCCGGGAACCTAGTGGGGAAGAGCTTGGCGGTGAGGCGGGAGCAGAAGAGCGGGCCTCGAGCCCAGCCGGAGGTCAAACCCTGGGTGTGGTCGGAGTGGAGGTGCGTCAGGAAGTACACCTGGCTTCCCGCCGTCCAACGGTCCACGGAGATCAGGCCATTCTCCATTCCTTTGATTCCTGTGACTGGTTTTCCTTTTATATCTCCGGCGGGGAACTTGGTTTGCCGGGAAGAAGCCGGGAAATCTGCTGCGCTGGAATTGGAAACGGTGAGCGGGACGAGAAGTGGAGGCGGGAGGCTGGAGGAGTTAGTGGGCTGGCAGCCTAAAAGTAATACTTATTCTGGTGAAATAGGGCCCATCTAGCATGACATTGGATATCCTGGGTCCCTTCAGAAAGCCGGGCCTCTAATTGTACCACCAAGTAATAATTGTATGCAGGCTCTAGCTTTGCGTATCCTCTGGGCTCTAACCCAAACGCCTAATCACAATCCGTACAGCGAATCCACCACGGATTGGGCCTGACACATGAATTGACGGCACCGTTAGTCAACACGTTTTGTCATTGTCTTGTCAGCCTAAAAATCATTAAAAATTTAAATTTAAATTATTTTTCTAATTTCTATTATTTATCATTATCAAATTGACCAAAAAATATAATTATAAAAAATTAAAAATAAATTTATATTTTATTTTTCGGTAATTTGAAAATGATAAATTTTAAAAAGCAAAAAATAATAATATTTTTACAAATTTTACAAATTTTATTTCTTGGTTAATTTGAAAATTATAAATAATAGAAATTAGGAAAATAAATTAAAATTTTAAATGATTTTTAGGCTGACGAGGCAATGACATGGCGTGTTGACTAACGGTCAACAGTGTTCACAGTCCAAATTGACGGTCAAACCATGTGTCGGGCCAATTGAGTCTATATGCTGCATAGTTGAGGCTAGGATGTTAATTTCTCAAACAAAAGACCAAAGTTGATTATATTAGTTAAGGCAAAAATAAGGTATTAACCCTTTTTCATGCCCTCATAAAATGTCTCTATCAGTAGCAGTAAATCTTTGGCTGTTTTTATATGATGTGGCAGGTTGGGTTTAATTTTTCAAGTTAAAATTATTTGATTGGACACTTTTGTTAATCACGTATGTAAAAAATCGATGTCATTAACAGAGATTGACGGAAGGTAACGGAGAGTGAACAAACTTAAAACGTTGAACTAATCTTAGTGACCACAAATGAAATAAAATATTTTTAGTGATAAATTTTTTTTTTTTTTTTGTAATTCCAGCGACCAAACTCGAACTTTATCCTATTTCAAATAAATGCATTTTAAATACATATATGTCAAATACACCTATCTAAATGCAACTAAGAAGTATATGATTGTATTTATCGTCACCATCCTCGTACATTTATTCATGTCCGGGCATACACTAATTGCACATTTTTGGCATATATGTAGTTAACATGGCCACACCATAATATTTTGAGAGCGACAATACGGTGGTGGTACGGATACATAAATGTCAACAACAAATCATTTAGGTCGTGAGAAGGGGATCGATTTAATGCTTATATCACTTTTTCAATCAATCCCCGTGGATGCTATAGGTAAGATCAAGGAAATGCCACAACAATTACGACACTCCTTCACCAGGACTCAGCCAAGTAATAGGTAAGAAAAGTCATACAAAATAGAATTTCGGCTAGGATAACATAAGGCATTTCGTCCCATTAAATAGGCTGCTCGATTCACTTCTCGCCAAGGATAACATGTAGGATCCTGGTTTACATAGACTAATAAACAGTAGGTGAATCCTATAACAAAGAGTCTTGGTGAGTTGTGAGTGGCTTGCTCACTACTCACATAGCTCGCTTAAGAATCTTCCACCAGAACTTTCAGATCATTATGGATTTACTTAAATCTAGTGCCAGGTTGCAGTCCTACCAAAGCCTTTCAAATACTTTGGGCGTTGGAAATTGCACCCTGCCTAATGATTAGCTGGTTAAGGAAGGTTGGATTCGTGAAGTATCCGAGGGCACATATGTTTTGTCTATCAAAAGCTGAAGAAGATAAAAGAAATTTTGTGTAGGCTAAATGAAATCCATTTCTCTTATATACATGAGAGAGCCAAATTTGCTGTTGAGCTTGTTGTGGCTCAAATAGAAGCCTTGGAGCACCCTGTCTCTTAGACTTTTGGCCAAGAAAAGAGGCGATGGTCCAACTTCTAGAGTTGCAAAAAGCTGAATAGTAGTTTCTTAGACAGAAATCTAGTGATGGCAATGGGTCGGGGCGGATAGTGCATATCTGTTAACCTACCCAAAGTAGTTCGGGTTTTACCCATACCCATACCCACATAAGAAACGGGTAGAAAATAAAAACCATGTCCATACTCGTTCGTGTTTCAGGTATTCACGGTTATCCATGGGTAATAGTTTCTCTTTATAACTCCAACTAATATGTAAATTTTCACACGTATTCTCGCATTATCTAAGATGAAAAGTATGACAATAATTCCCTATGATGAAGAAAATTAATAAAACAACACAATTTTATTAAAATATTATATTTATATGCTAAATATAAAATATGTTAGAGAAAAATAATGATTATTTTTAGATAAAATACATATGCATGTGTAAAATCGAACGGGTTCGGGTTAGATAGTGAGGTAACCATGCCCACCCATTACCCGCAATATTCGGATTCGGGTTTTACCCTACCCGATTAAGTCGAATTCGGGCAGATATCCACGGTTATGGGTATTTTTGTCATCCCTAAATCTAGATGCAAGTGGGTTAATCAGGAAATGCTAATACTAAATTCTTTCACACTGTAGTAAGAATTAAGAAGATACGATATACTATTTGGCAATTAACTAATGTTGAACGGGAAGTCTTTACAATAGTCGAAGAGATGGGGCAAGAAGTTGTTTCATTTTACGAAGGGCTGCTGGAAGTCGAGAATAAGGAGATTCTGAAAATTTATATCCCTATGTTGGAGCAATTATTGGCTGATAAGCTTTTCAAGGAGCTGGCTCAGGGCCAATGTGCTCATGTTACTGCTGATGGAGTTAGATCTGTGATATTCAGTATGAAGAAAGATAAATGCTTGGGGCTAGATGAATTTGTTGCAGAGTTCTTTCAAACACAATGGGACTTAGTAGGCCATCAAGTGGTTGCAGGCATTCAAGAACTTTTCCATAATGGTAAGATGCGGAAGAAGGTCAATAGAACCATTCTGACACTAATTCCTAAGGCACAACAAGCTGACTCAATGAAAATATTCATGCTTCTATAATTTTGCAATGTTATATATAAATGCATATCTAAGGTGTTAGTTGTTAGACTAATGGAAGTGCTGTCACTTGTTATAAGTAAGAACCATTCAACATTTTTCAAAGGGAGATTAGTTAGCGACGATATTATCCAAGCTATTGAACTAATACAACAATATAATAGGAAATCTGTTTCACCTAGATGTGCTATGAAAATATATATCATAAAGGCATTTGATAGTTTATATTCGAGTTATTTGGGAGTTGTAATGAGAGCTATGGAATTCCCTTTGCAATTTGTTTCATGGATTAAAAAATGTACGGCTTCTGCTTCTTTCTCAGTCTTATTTAGTGGAGGGTTACTTGGCAAATTTCGAACTAAAAAAGGACTTAGGGAGGGTGATCATATGTCATCCTAAATATTTGATATTGCAATGGAGCTTTTATCCTGCATGATGAATAGAGCAGTAGAGAGAAAATATATTCCCTATCACACACAGTGTGCCATGGTAGGACTTACACTTAAACTTTTGTTGATGATGTGGAAGGTGAATGCAGAAAGGAGGAATAGATTGTGAAAGTTTTTGCATTCAAATATCTTGGGGGGGCCTCTAGTGGTAGGTAAGCGGTGTGTGGCAGACTGTAAGTTGTTAGTGCAAAGGATTACAAAGAGGATTAAACCTAGGTTGTTATCCTATGTTGGGAGAATGCTGTCTATAATTGTTGTCCTAACTAGCAATGCATAATATTGGATGTATGTATTTCAGCGGCCAAAAAATTTTATTCGAGAAGTACAAAAGCAGTGCTATGAAATCTTGTGGCGTTCTGATGAAGGGAAGAAGAAGTCTAAGTCACATGGCCAGTGGCTCTCGCCAAGGAAGAAGTAGGTCTAGGGTTCAAAGATCTCTACAGTTGAAATCTTACATGTTAAATGAGGCATATCTAGGTTGTTCAATAAACACGGTGGGTGGCTTGGTTGAAGGAATATCGGTTAAGAAATCTCAGCATCTAGGATATCCATAGGGTGATGAAAATTAGGCCTAAAGTCAGAGCTTCTATGACAGTATATGGGAATGAAATAAGATTTAAGAATCATCCTCTGTCAAAGTTTAAAATCAAGCTAGTACGAGTGTCGATTAGACCTAGTATATTGTGGAAGCAGTACTTTGTCCCTAACAACTCTTTGTTGGCCTGGCTTATCACTTTAGACACGATAACCACATTGGATAAGGTAAAAATGAAAACCAAATATTAATTGGGATTGCCCTTTGTGTAAGAATGAATAAGAAATGAGAGACCACTTGTTCTTTAACTATGTCTATGTGCAGGAAGTTTTGCAGGCTGTGGTTATAACATGATCTAGATATCATCCAACTAGATATAGGTAGGAAGGAGTTAAGGAAGGTCTTTAGAAATTTGGTTCTCATCATATGAGCGGTTCTCATGGACACTGACAACCTATTAAATAATGAAATCAATAAAGATAAAATCTTTCTTAATATAAATTCTAAACACCCAATCCTAAAACATCCATAAGACAAAGTGCAATACTATCTAAATTATTCATTTATGCACGAATCATTTAACATTAATATACCAAGTATAATCTTGTTAACAAATAGAAAAGAAGTGGGAAAAGTGAAGAGCGAATTGAGGGATAGATATTAAAGTTTATTTTGGGTGATCACTCAATTACATTTCATCTCTTTATTATTATTATTATTTTTTATTAAGGCTAATACCACTAGAAACTCGAACTATCAAGAATGTGTCATTTGTGTCCTGAACTATTCAATATGGCATCCTGACGTATGATAGTAGTGTGTCATTTACATACTCACAATTTCGTTGACCATTATAGATAACGGTTGACCAAACGGTCAACCATAAAATGTTGACTTTTAGTTACATGGCACATATGTGGCAGTCATGTATGCTTAGCGTCAGCCGCCAGATCAGATTGTTATTTTTCAATTAAAATTAACAATTAAAATAAAAAATACTAAGGAAAACTTAAATTGAAAAAATAAATCCTAGCACCCCTGCATCTTTGCCAGAGCACTCCCTGCATCTCTAACCGTGGGTTTCGAATTTTGCAGATCTTCTCCAGCTTTTCTCACCAATCTCCGACTACCTAACTCCAATCGACATCGTCTTCTCAGGCAGAGCTCCCAGCTCCAATCGATGTCGTCTCTAACGACGTTTCCAACTCTAGATGTCGTCTGTACCGGTTGCCGACGAGGAGGCGGAGGGAAGCTCGAACATCTTCCAAATAGTCGATGGAAACCTGTATAGCCAAAACCATCTCCCACTCCGTCGTATTCGAATTGCTCTTGGTCACTGCAGCTCTAATTTTAACGCCGCCATTTCTGGGTTTCATTGGATGTGGGTTTCCGCTTTTCGTTTTCCTCCAATGGATTCCTTCCTTGTGATTGTTTTCCGCCCAGTTTTTCCCCAATGGCGGTGGCCACTTCTAGAGGTTTCACAGCCCTCAGTAATGTTCTCAATTTTCATTCCATCGTTGTTATGGTTTAAATCACTTCATTTACGATTTTTGGTTGGCTTAGATCCTGCTACTTCTCTAGAACAAGTTTCAGTCGGTGAATTAGTTTGCGATGTTCACGCAATTCCCTTTTGCTTAGTAATGGTGGTTTACTCTCACCATGTTTTCATCCTCACAGTTCTTCGCATAGTTGCGAAGTTATGATTTCTAGAAGAGCAAATTGATTTGGTTGTTAATTGATTCAATAATATGAAACTGCTTTAGTTACAATCCCATCCTGCAAGTTAGATTGTGATTTCTCGAGTTCGCTCCAGTTGGATTGTTGATTGAGCTCATAAGCCGCAAGCACTAGAGTTCTGAATTTCAGTAATGGAATTTCTCACTGTGCTTTATTTTCAATTCGTAGGTCTTGCTTCGTCAACAAGCAAGAGAAGTGCAGCAATGGAGGTGAAGTGCAAATTTGGTGGAGACGGATGGAGGCGATTGCGAAGCTGATTTGGTTTTGAAGTTGCGACGACGGAGGTTGGGAGACGGAAGAGGGAAGGGTAAATCCCCAAATCGATTATTTTATGTTTTTATTTTCTTTATTTTCTTTTCTTATCTAGAACATATATAATACGTTTTTAAGCTTCCCAAAACCTCCATTTGAAAATTCCAGCCCTGGGAGTGTTTGTCGGAAGGGGTATACAAGGAACTTCCACCGATTAAAATTATACACACCGTTTCGCATATGCACACTCAGCACACCGTTTTGCACATTCCAAGCTAAAAATTAGTTCTTTGTTTTTTTAACCGTCCCACATGCCTCCCCTCCACTTCCTTCACTCGATAGCTTCTTCATGTCAATCTGTCGATTGCACACTCCACTCTGCCTTGCTAACCCACCCCGGCTTCTCTGATTTTCCACATTACGTTAGTTACAACATCTGGGCTCCCCACCCCCACCCCCACCCACCCACCCCCCCCCCCCCTCGACTACACATCACACAAAAACCCAGCCTCAACTTGAGAATCCACCCCATTATGATTGCCGCTTCGGACCATATCTTTACTTGAGTTTTTCCCCCTCCTAATTCATCTAATTACATTGAATTGGTTGCCAATTGGTTCAAGTCATTTAATTTTGTGATTTTTATAGGGTTAATATATTTGTATGGCCCGAACTTTTCACCAAATAAATATCCTGACCAATGTTTTCGATCTATAACTTTGTGGCCTCAACTATGCATCAAAGTTACGAAATTGGCCAAATCCGAGATTTGACTGTTATCTTGGACGGTCAAACACGTTAACTAATGATCAACGCTCCACGTCACTGTCAAGTCAGAACAAACCACTTAAAATTTTTGGTTTTTTCCACGTATTACTATTTATCTTTTTTATTTTTGAACAAAAGAAGAAAAAAAGGAAGAGAAATTTAAAAATGTTGGGTCCCAAAAATTTTTAATGATAATAGGTGTTAAAAAACAAGTTTTTATAAGTGGTCTATGCTTACTTGGCAGTGACGTGGCGCGCTTGATCGTCCAAGATAACGGTCAAATCTCGGGTTTGGCCAATTTCGTAACTATGATACATAGTTGAGGCCAAAAAGTTATAGATTAAAAAGATTGACCAAAATATTTAATTTTTGAAACTTTTTTTTTTGGGTCAAAAGATATCATATATTACTTCAATCCAACAAGATAGTTACATCCTGGAAAGCAGCCAGGCTCTGAAATCAAACAAGCGATTCCCATTCGGGTACAAAGAGAGGGCTTTTCTAGCTACCGAATGAGCTACCCTATTGTTATCCCGACCTACAAACCGCACACTAAACCCCGGATGGGCAGCAAAATATTGACAAATTTCTTCCAGGACCGCCCCCAAGTGATTGTCACGCGGATCGGCTTGATTAATCTTGTCAATAATGACCTTCGCATCTCCCTCGAACGAACATCGGACAAACCCCACTCTAAACACCAAGTAACAGCCTCACGCAGCACTAGTAGCTCCACCACCATCGGGTCATCCAATCGTGCAAATTGCACACCTTTAGCCCGAATGACCGTCCTTCCCGGACCACAAAGGACCATCCCACCAGCCGAGTACAAATATATATAACTCATTTTTATACTATAGTGCAATTGATGGAGTGTTTATAAGGTCTGCCATTCATTGCATATTATGTATAAGATTAATGAGTGATGATGCCCATTGAACATGTTGGAAATGAATGAATAGATTTGAAAGCTATAGAGTTTCAAGTGGGAAAACTACCACATTGGTAGTTTTACTTGGTGAAATGTGTATAAAGATAAGAGCCTCTCTCCTAAGGGCATGCCCCTTGGGGTGACCCACTTTTGTGGGAGAGGGAGGACCTAAAGGACCACCACACACGCGCGCGCGCCGTTCGACCGACTTGTTGGTTGGTTAGTTCACTTGAGACTATATATTATTTGGAGAAATTTCGAACGAAATTAATTATCTAATAATTAATTATTAATCGGTTATTCTAAGGATAATCGATTAAAAGGAATATTCGAAGGATAATCCCGCAGGAATCGCCTCCCTAGCCCCTCTAAACACACCACAACGAGCATAAACACAATAGAGAGAGTGTTTAGAGAGCTCCGGTTTTCGCACAAAACCGCCGAGCATTCGAGGAGCTGTTTTATCCTGGAGACGACCGGTTGATAGTATGTCGTGCGCATCGAGGGCAGTGCCGCGAACGTCTCAAAGAGAGCGACCTAGTCCGCGACTCGGCTCCAGATTCGATAACCTCGTCCCTATTTGTTGTTCCGTTCCTAACAATTTTAAGACGTTCGGCTGCTGCTATGTCGACTGAACAGAACAAAATGGTTGGATCTGGTGCTATCGATATCAATCGACTCTTCCGCTTCGTGGGAGTCAACTTCCGTCGCTGGAGACGAAAGATGGAGTTCTACCTGACGACCAAGAAGTTGCCACACTTCCTCACCAGCATGCCCGTCGAGTTGCCGGAAGAAGCGACCGATGAGGAGAGGGCTGCTTCTGCTAAGGAAAGGGAGCATGACTTCCTGTGCAAGAACTACATCCTCAACGGCCTGGCAGACGATCTCTACGACTACAATGCGGACAGCAAGAACACCGCAATGATGATCTGGGATGCGCTCCAAAAGATGTACGACACGGGGAGGCTGGAGCTAAGAAATATGCTGGCAGCCGCTACCTGCGCTACCAGATGGTGGATGACAAGTCCGTCGAAGTTCAGTCCCACAAAATTTAGAAAATAGCTCATGGGATCGTCTCTGAAGGTATGCCTCTAGACGATCAGTTTCAAGTTGCTTGCATTATTGATAAGCTGCCCCCTTCGTGGAAAGATTTTAAGAATATGATTAGACATAAAACTAAAGAATTTTCTCTGGAAAGCTTGATTACTCGCCTTAGGATTGAGGAAGAGTCCCGCAAGCAGGATATGAAAGAAGAGGTGATGGTCGTCAATGCTAAACAACCCACCTCTAGAGCTCTTAAACCTAACCAGAAAGGTTTCAAGAGTAAGAACCAGCAGGTCCGCCCTCACCAGAATGGTTCCTCTCGGGGTAACCAAAGGGTCATGGCCCAAACCTCTAAGAATGACCCACCATTTATATGCTATAACTGCGGTAAACCTGGTCATATGGCAAAAAAGTGCAGGAACAAGCCTAAAACTGCTACTACTCTTAGGGTTAAATTGACAGAAGAGGATTTGATAGCCATGATCACGGATATGATCGCTGAAGTCAACCTCACACGTGACTCAGAAGGATGGTGGCTGGATACAGGTGCATCAAAGCATGTATGCAACAATCATGCTATGTTTAAAACATACACAGAAGTACCTGCTGACAAGAAATGGCTGCTGGGGACTACCCACACCACTATGGTTGCTGGTTCTGGTGAAGTGGAGCTGAACTTCACCTCTGGGAAGAAGATGGTGGTCAAGGATGTGTTGCACACTCCAGAGATAAGGAAAAATCTTGTTTCATGATATTTTCTTAATAAGGTTGGGTTTAATCAATCTATTGGGGCAAACTTGTATACCCTTAATGGGAGTTTTGTGGAAAAGGGATATGCATGTAATGAGATGTTCAAGTTTAATGTCAAAATTAATAAGATGAATTCTTCAGTTTGCATGGTGTGTGATTTGAATGTTTGGCATGCTCGTCTTTGTCATGTGAACACACGAATTGTGAAGAATTTAAGCAAGCTAGGACATATCCCTAAACTCTCAATGAATGAATTTGATAAATGTGATTTCTGTAGCCAAGCTAAAATAATGAAAACGCCCCATAAATATGTGAGTAGAGAATCAGAACTCTTAGATCTAATTCATTCTGATATTTGTGAACTAGATGGGACGTTAACTAGGTCTGGCAAGAGATACTTTATCACTTTCATAGATGATTGTTCTTATTATTGCTTTATTTATTTGATGGAAAAAAAAGTGAGGCCCTTGACATGTTCAAGGTATTTGTGGTTGAATTTGAAAATCAGTGCAATCGAAAGATAAAACACTTAGGAGTGATCGAGGATCAGAGTATGATTCTAATTCCTTCAAGGAATTCTATAGCTCACATGGTATCATTCATGAAACCACGACACCATATTCACCATAAATGAATGGTAAAGTTGAGCGGAAAAATAGGACGTTTACAGAATTAGTTGTGGCTATTATGCTCAATTCTGGAGCTGCTTCTTCTTGGTGGGGTGATATTTTGTTGACGGTTTGCTATGTGCTAAATTGTCTTCCAAAAACAAATAGAAAAGAATCACCCTATGAGATCTTGAGGAATAAGCCACCTAATCTGTCCTATTTAAGAACGCGGGGCTGCTTGGCCTACGTAAGAATTCCATATCCTAAGAGGATTAAGGTTGCTAGTCGAGCATATGAATGTGTCTTTGTTGGCTATGCAACCAATAGTAAGGCATATAGATTCTATGATTTGAATGCTCGTACTATAATAGAATCCATTGATGCTGATTTCTTTGAGACACGATTTCCATTTAAAATGAGAAATAGTGGGGGTAATGTACTACCCGCTATTAGAGATAACGGAACTAGTGGGGGTGTTGGATCTGAGGATGAACTCAAAAGAAGTAAAAGAGCTAGAATATCCAAAGATTTTGGTGATGACTTTACTATAGTATACACCCTCGAAGATCCAAAAAGTTTGCAGGAAGCATTAACTTCCATAGATGCAGATTTTTGAAATTAGGCCGTTATAGATGAAATGAAATCGTTAGAAGCTAATAAGACTTGGCTTTTAACAGACCTACCTCCTGGTTGCAAAGTCTTAGGTAATAAATGGGTTCTAAAAACGATACGGAAACCTGATGGTGCAATCGAAAGGTTCCAAGCTCGCCTAGTAGTTAAGGGCTACAGGCAGAGAGAGAATATAGATTTCTTCAATACCTATTCACCAGTATCTAGAATAACATCCATTCGTGTCATGATTGCTCTTGTTGCCTTGAACAATCTCGTGGTACACCAAATTGATGTTAAGACTGCTTTTTTGAACGGTGATCTGGATGAAGAAATCTATGTGGAACAACCAGAAGGGTTTGTTATCCCCGGACATGCCTCAAAAGTCTGTAAATTAGACAAATCATTATATGGTTTAAAACAGGCTCCAAAACAGTGGCATGAGAAGTTTGACACTCTCGTTCTCTCACATGGCTTTAAGGTGAATGAAAGTGACAAGTGTATTTACTGCAAGTCAGAGAATAACACTTGTACTATCATATGTTTGTATGTAGATGTCATGTTAATATTTGGTACAAATATTCACGTGGTCAATGAAGCAAAATCCATTTTGAAAGAGAGCTTTGAGGTGAAACATCTGGGAGAAGCAAAGTTTATGCTTGGAATCCAGATAACTAGAACAACAAATGGTTATTATCTAGATCAATCTAGCTACATAGAGAAGGTCTTGAAGAAATATAACTATTTCGAATGTAAACCTGTGTGTACTCCGTATGATGCTAGTGTAAAGCTATTTAAGAACACTGGAGACAGTGTAAGACAATCAGAATATGCTATCATCATTGCCAGTCTCCATTATGCTGCGGATTACACTCGACCAGACATTGCATATGTCGTGGGATTGTTTGGCAGATTTAACAGTTGTCCTAGTAGAGAGCATTGGAATGCTATAGAGAGGGTCATGAGATACCTCAAGAGAACAGCAAACATTGGTATTCACTCAAAGGTTTCCTGCTTACTAGAAGGGTATAGTGATGCGGATTGGAATACCCTATCAGATGACTCCAAGGCAACCAGCGGGTATGTTTTTAACATCGCTGGTGGAGCTGTGTCTTGGAAGTCAAAGAAACAAATAATCCTAGCTCAATCAACTATGGAATCAGAGATGATAGCACTAGCAACGGCTAGTGGGATTGTTGATCCATTTTGATAGTACTGCAGCTATCGCTAAAGTTGAGAAGCGGTTCTATAACAAAAAGAAAGGACAGATTCGTCGTAAGCACAGTACTATAAGAGAACTCCTAACGATAGGAGCAGTGAGGGTGGATCATATAAGATCCGAACAGAATCTAGTTGATCCTTTGACGAAAGGATTAACTAGAGAGAAAGTCCTGAATACCGCCAAGGGTATGGGACATATGCCTACCGAACCACGGACTACAAGTGATGGTAACCCGCCCAATAGACTGGAGATCCCAAGAAATGGGTTCAATGGGTAATAACAAGTCATGAGTAGTGTGCGAAAAGTTCATGCATAGTGAAGCATGAATCCCAAAGCAATGGAGGTTGAGTTAATAACTCTTAATGATATCTATACCCTATGTGGGGTGGAGTACTTTACTTTGGGGGTACTCCTGATAAACTCACCTATGTGAATGTGGGAGTGGGGTCGCTCCCTATGGAACTTTGGAGGCACAAAGTTGCTAGAGCGTTCACTAAACCAGGATAACATGCATGGCCATAAACGCACGGGCTAAGAAGATAACACAACACAATGAAAAGATCTGGCGTGCTATACAGTCTGAGATAGGGTTCAAGACTACGAGTCACCCTTATGAAATCGGAAGTGTAACCACTACGCTAAGGATCAAATTTTCGCGATACCTTGCTTATGCCTGATTTTATGGAACTGTTGATGCTCGAGATAGTTTCAAAACTATTCAAGTGGGGGATTGTTGGAAATGAATGAATAGCTTTAAAAGCTATAGAGTCTCAAATGGAAAATTACCACATTTGTAGTTTTACTTGGTGAAATGTGTATAAAGATAGGAGCCTCTCTCCTAAGGGGATGCCCCTTGGGGTGACCCACTTTTGTGGGAGAGGGAGGAACTAACGGACCACCACACACACGCGCGCGCCGTCTGTTCGTCCGACCGATCTGTCGGTTGGTGGTTGGTTGGTTCACTTGAGACTATATATTTTTTGGAAAAATTCCGAACGAAATTAATTATTAATCGGTTATTCTAAGAAATAATCTAAGGATAATCGATTAAAAGGAATATTCGAAGGATAATCCCGCAGGAATTATCTTACAGAAGGGTTTTAATTAAGGAAGTAATTATCTTCCTTAACTAAGTCGACTTATTCCCCAAGTTAGAGGGTATATCCTAGGGGTTTGGCTCCTATAAATAGCCGCCTCCCCAGCCCCTCTAAACACACCACAACGAGCATAAACACAATAGAGAGAGTGTTCAGAGAGCTCTAGTTTTCGCACAAAACCGCTGAGCATTCGAGGAGTTGTTTTATCCTAGAGACGACCAGTTGATAGTCTGTCGTGCGCATCGAGGGCAGTGCCGCGAACGTCTTAAAGAGAGCGACCTAGTCTGCGACTCAGCTCCAGATTCGGTAACCTCGTCCCCGTTTGTTGTTCCGTTCCTAACAGAACCTGGTGGAAAGCTTGATTAAGAATAGGTTACGAAACACACAAGAACAAGAAAGGAGGATATAAAATAGAGTGGAATGTATGTGGAAATGACAGTTGATTATATGACTGAATTAGGAACATAGCAGCAGGATTTTCATGTGTTTATGCAGCATAGGAAGGAGCTGTTATTTTAGGGAAAAACTTCAGTTATATTTGTATTAGACAGAATAAGAAGTTAGTAGTAGCAATTTTGTTCTGAGATAGATATAGAGCTCTAAAGCTTGCACATGATACTTGCTTACCTACTGTAACTTTGGACTATGTTTGGTCTTTTAAATAATAATATGATATCAATTTTATAAAAAAAAATGTAATGAATTAGATGAATTAATAATTCACTTTCATGAATTCTGCCCACTTTGGTTCATTGTTCTATATGTTTGTAATGATTTTGGGGGTTCAAACTGAAGTCGTTATGCACTCGTCTGTAGTAACACAACATTATCAAAGGCACGATATATTCCAGCCTTCTAAAAGGCGTGCCTAGACCTACGCCTAGGCTTTAAAAGGCAAAAGGCGCTGGGAAAACGCCATGATATTGCTAATTGCGCTATAAAATGCGTTGGATCCGATTAATAGGTTGTAATAACTATTAATGGTCGCCTAAACGGAAATAAAGCAAGCCTAGGCGGTGATGAAATGGGCCTTGGCACGGGTCAACAATTCCGGGCTTGGACCGAACTTTTTGATATCCCATCCGGCCCTCCCTCCCTCGTTCGTGACCTGGTAAGTCCCCTAACAATAAAAGAAGAATTCACCTATTCATCTTCCTTCCTCGACCGGCTGACTCTAGGTTAGAAACGAAAATTGAGTTGCTTGTTCTTAGTTGCTGCCTGCTGCGCCTTCCTCTCGGCCCGCCGCATTGAGAAGCTGGTCGTTAAGCTCAATAAGTACCTCTGTCTAAACTTGGCTCTGAAGCTCGCGCTCTCAACATCAATGGCTGCCATTAATCTTGTTTACTTGCTTGGATGATGTCACAGTAAAGCCTGTAAAGTAAAGATTCTTTTTCTTTCTAAAAAATAGCTTCTTTTTATATGGTTTAATACACTTGTATATCCAAAACTTTCACGGTTGTGCTAATAATATCCAAATTTCTAGAAATACCACTTATATCCATGTTTTAAAGTTGCTCTTTGCCAAATCTATCCATTTCCCAATATATTTTTGGTTAAATACACTTGTATATCCAAAAACACCTTTAAAGAATGTGAAGGAATTGGATATAAGTGGTATTTCGGGAAATTTGGATATTATTTGCACAACCGTGAAAGTTTTGGATATACAAGTGTATTTAACCTTTTTATATATGGAAGATGCAGAATGATTCATTCTCTCCAATTGAGTAGGTAGCAGTTTCACATAGTAGCGATGGGGGGTTAATGTCCACCGATCATTGCTTTTCAAAATCCACAGATTTTCTTACTCTAATGCGTCTATGTATAATGTATGTATGTAGGTATGTATATGGAGAGTTCTACTGTACCCAGGGTAAAATTCGGGGTATCCATACCTTGAGTAAGAAAACGATATCTGAAACTTGAATTGACTGATCTTTCGGACATGATACTATACTCTAACTCTTAAAGATCAAAATCTAGGTCTTAACTCCCTAAATCTTATACCCCAAGATCAATTTAATTAGAAACGATAATCGACGGTTATGATTCGTCCAAATATAGGCAAAAAAAACTCATGCACCATCTTATGGTTTATAGCTTATGATTTAGATAATTAGGACCTAGGGTTCACTCATTAAGGGTTTAGGGTATAGTATCATGCCCAAAAATCCTGCTAATTCGAGGTCTAGATAGCGTTTTCATATTCAAGGTATGCGCTACCCAGGATTTCACTTGGGGTACCGTAGAAGGCACCGTATATATATATATATATATATATATATTTATTTATTTATTTAGCCTTCATCATTTTCATAGATTATCTTTGAATTGGATGATAGATAAACATAGAAGTAGTTGGGTGGGTTTTCTGTAAATCCAAGCCATGCAATATTGGAGTACGTGTGAGGGCTGTGAGAATGATGGATTCTTTTAATTCCTTTTGTTTAATAACAAAATCCACTCAATTTCACTAGCCAAGGAGTCCATGTCGTGTTTCTAACGTGTGCTCTAATGGCGAACAATTGATTTGTGTTTCTGGCGCATAAGAAACTTGTTTTCTTGCATGATTTTGTTTCGTTTTTAGTAATGAATGAAGAAAGCTCCATTTTGTATTTCTAACATGCTCTAATGGGGTCATGGATGCTTATTTTTGTTTCTTTAATTGATTGGTGTTTCCTTTCGCCATTTGAATTTTGATTATTGTTTTTTTAAATAGGTTTTGTTCTATAATGGATGATGCTAGTGATTCGGCACCGGGAGTGACAAATGAAGAAAATGTCAATTCTTTCAAGAGGAAGTCTGGTGATATAGCTAGGTTGGGAATATGGAAGATTGGTGGATCCAAAAAATAAAGAGAAAGTGCGGTGTAATTTTTGTGGCCATGTGAGTATCGGAGGTATCTCTCGCATCAAGCATCATATTGCCCAAGATTCAAGTTCGGTGCTTAAATGCCCGAAGGCACCACCAAAATCTAAAGAAGCATGCTTGAAAGCCTTTGAGAATACATCAAAAAAGAAGAAAGAGAAGGCTGCCCGTGAACCGGAGTTAAGAGATGATGTGATTGTTCCTTTGGTCAACAAGATGAAGAAATCACTTGTGTTGGTAGTTCAGAACCTCACAAGTTAGGATCCATGGATAAGTGGGCACGTTCTATTGTTTAGTATTTCTACATTTTCTGAACTTGTGATTCTAGAAAATGGTCACTATGTGCTTGTTATTTGTTAAGTTAAGTGTTAAACATTGAGAACTAGGTGTTTCTAATTTTATATGAACTTGGATCATATGAAATATTCCAGAAAATAGGAAATATTTGAATTTTTTTCCATTTATGCTTTAAACGCCTAGTAGCGCCTAGGCAACGCTTAATCGGGCAAGGCTCAAGTCAAGAGCCGAGCACTCGCCTTACGCCTAGCGCCTTTTTGAACCTTGATATATTCAATATCAAAATTTGAGGTAGCGGATGCGTCAGTGAACACAAAATTGCTATTTCTACTAGACGAATTTGCACCAGACCGAACACAGTGTTATAGGAGATATAACACACACCTGAAATTCATGTATTTAACTTTAAGTTCCCGAAGCTTTCTCATTTTCAGTAGCTTATGCGAATGACAAATATTTGTCAGGTTTGATGTATCAATTTATGACCAATTACTGTCCTAACTCATTTCAGAAGACTAATACATATTTATCAAATACATTTCTTTATTTTGTGTATAGCTGAGTAAAAGTCGTGCAATTGTATGGCTCACTTTTAAACTTTCATTACTTATTTCCTACAATTGTATAGCAAAATCCGTCATACAAAACCAACATTTAAATTCTCTCAAGGTGTTGTGTACGTACGGAGTAAGAAAATGCACCTCAAACTATTTATGTCACTCTACTTGAATCTATAAAATCATATTCCACTAGATATTAATCTTACCATCTACCTACTCATTTATTGTTTCCAATGCAGGGGACAAGTTATCAAAATTACTCGAGAACTCCTTGATTAATGATTTCCATGTTGTAGTTACTAATCAACCCAATCAGGCATGTGTATGTATACATTGAAAAACATGCAGCACAACCTTGCTCCACGGAAGAACTATACACATTTTAGCAATCTCATATGCATATGTACTCATCTCAACCCTCTTAATCTATCTCATTACATATGTGCTTCTATCTCCTTGCAACTTACATGCTGTAAATACACTATCGTACCCTTTGAAGTTATGCATATATGATCCAACAAAAAAACATACTATACATATTTATGAGCATATAAGTTCTTATTCCCATCATTTAGAACACTCAACATTTTCTAAGGCTAAATATGTATCAAACTTAACACATTTCATTATGTTTGTGATGTTAGATAAATATTATAGCAACCTCACTTGCACAATAAGGGCTAACAATTGTGTGACTCCTGCAGGGAAATTACTACATCGTTCATGACTTCGTCTCAGATTTACGTGTGGTATGATCACCAAAAGGATGCAGTTCATTGTCATCTTAGTATTGTCGATGATTATGCAATGTGTCAACTCTGCATTTCCTAAAATCTAATTATACTTTATTACAAATCCATCTATCGAGAAACCCTCTATAGTTCCCATTCATCAGTATAACACGGATGATCTACCAAACGTGTGTGCAATAGTTGTGACACAATGCTCAATGTAGATATACAAAAAAAATCTAATTTATCAAGGATTGTAAAGTCGTACTTGAGGTTGTACTAGATAAGTCAATGGTATGATATTTTTTGATTAAATCGTTCATACCAAAAAAAATCTAATACTAGCTCTAGCTCTAGCAGAAGGTTTTTTTGTCGAATTATCAATACGATATGATTTCGCAAACACTGAAACCTATCCCGCCAACGGGCTGTGCCCTGCTCTAGTATGGAAAATAATTATAAATTAATATTATAAATTCCATTTCAGATGCCACATCAGCGCTGACTAGACTTTCTGTTAACAACTAATGGTCAACGCTGGTCAACTCTAACGGAAAAATAGTTTCGTACACAAATGTCATATTGGATACTTTAAAACACAAATGACACATTCTTCACAGTTTGGGTTTGCTAGTGGTATTTGCCCTTTTAATTACTCTATTTCATTGGTAGGTTATAATTTGATCAAAATATTTTTTATATATGAACAAACTCTTGATGGGGTAGGGATGCGTAAATCATACACACCCTATCTCCATCAATTTCCTGACTAGGTAGTTCAAACAGTGTGCTTACTGTGATAACCGTTTTAACTTTTAGTATTTGACTAATTTGGTTTGATTAATTTGGAAATTTGGCTTGGTTTGATTAAAAAATTTAGCTTGTTTGGTTTAGTTTCAAACGCTCCTAACCAATCAAACCAAATTAACCAGTTAAGTAATGATTCATATATATAGTATATATTATATACACATACTTAATACTTGGCATAACCACTCTAGAGCCAAATATTCCTTCCATGTAGGCTCATCAACTATAAATCATAATATTGTTCATATACTATATATTTGTATTTGTACCGTGTAAATCATGATATATGAACGCCCAATTTAGTTAAAACTCATACAATATTTTAGATGAAAAGTGGAAAAGAAGGTTTTTTCCAATCTATGATAATTTCTAAGAGACTAATTCAATTCACACAATCACAACAATTAATTAAGTCCATACTACTGACATATATTTTTGTTCGGTGAATACT